ATAACCGAGCGGGGTGCCCCGTGGGCACTGTCGGGAGAAAGCCTTGTTCGGGTACACGCGGTTCGAAGGACCAAGAGGAGAAGGGGAAGGGATTGAAGTGTAGGACAGGGCGTAGGGGTGACGCCACCCCTCTGCTTGTGGCAGAGAATCGAGAAGAGGCCTGTGAAGAGAGAGAGAAAGAGAGACTCGGGGGTGGTATAATCGATGCGGACATGTGCAGTTCCCTCGGGGGTAGCAACCCCTAACTCGCCAAACCTATTTATACAACAATGCTCGGTACAGCCCCCCATAAACCACCCTCACGGTGGACCACCGTGGCTGCTGTTGCTACACGTTACCTCCCTCACCCTCATACCTTCGGTTTATAATCAACCCCCTCCGAATTGTATCTTTCTCTCGCTCGTTCGTTCGTTCGTTCATTCGTTCGTTCGTTCGTTCGCTCGCTGTCGGTAGCCTCGACGATGCAACGAACAGTTTATCTTAGGGTTCCATACCCCTACTCTCTCCTCTAGCTGGTATTTTAAATAGCAAATACTTATCTCCCGAATGGGACTAAGGGTAGTTTCTAAACGATAAGCGTACCGGCTGAAAAGGGGTGCTATATTCGGTTTTATAGTTAAATCGTGCCGATCTAAAGACTCGAGATGATTGTGGTCACTCGAGTTGTATACTTTTGTTTTTTATCTATCGGATTAATTGCAAGAAATAGTGTATTACATACGCGCATTATATATATATATATATATATATATGTATTGAATATATTTATGCACGCGTTTATGAATGGTATGTAACGCTTTTCTCTCTGTGTTCAGGTTCAAACGCATATAATAATAAAATTATCGTTAGATTTTACGGCCTATCGTAGCTTTGGGCTTCACAGTAGGAGAGTAATTTTCTCGAGGAAATACGACGCGTCGTATAAATCACTCGTACGTGCGTAGAGGTACTCTCTTTTGACAAAAGGCGCTTCCTTATTCTTTCCCCTGTATATATATGTATAGGGTGTTTCAACGCGATTCAAATATCTCCGTTAATTTCAGCGAAATTCAGAAGGAAAGATAGTAGAGTCGCGTTTTTCCGAAGAAACGACAATTATTAGCAAGATCGAGGACTAACGCAAGTTAATAACAAATTAAAAATACACGAAAATCAAAATGAATTCGCCGTCTCGCAAAATGTATCAATCTTAATGAGATTCATTATACATTTACGTGATATAATGTAAATACAATTTGGAAAGTATCCTTGGCTCCCACATGAGACCACACCGTGTTTCGCGAAATCGACGAACGACCAAACGATAACGATAATAACTATAATAACGACAACAATAGGAAGAACGAGTAACAGAGTTGCAGTTGGTGCTCGTTTTTCGCTATCCCACGAGACCGCGTGACTCTCGTGCACGAGAACACTTCCATTACCGTTGGAATTGAAATTTGAAATTCTTCCACGACACAACGATGCTTTGCACAATTCGCATACTTTACAACTTGAATATAAGAGGCCTGTCTGCATATATATATGTCCACTACGTCATGCATTTACATATATTATCGTGCTTAATAATAAGAACGTCGTAAGAACTTCCGTTTCATGCTCGTATACATATATCTACGCGTACAAATATGCATATGCCGCACATTTTCTGCATAGATAAAGTTATTTCGCAAGGTTAATTAATCAATGGAGTATCTATTTTCATCGAATTATGGTTCAATTTTGTATGAATCATATTAACGTGTATAGAACGGGGCTCCTCGTGACTGTACACGCGTAAACATATAAACATTCGGTGTATTCTCTACTCGAGATTAATTCTGCATCGACAAAAGCGAAGAAGCAGCAGCCAGAGTGCGATGTATCCAAATAAGCATGTGTTTGTAAGTAAGACAGGACCAGCTGAACGATACGGGTAATCCGGATTTTGGATTAGCCTAAGCCAGGCATAACATCGGGAGGTCGTTCGAGATAGTTCTTCTGTCGTCGTCGTCCGAAGCGAGAAAAGAGAGAGAGAGAGAGAGAGAGAGAGAGAGAGAGAGAAATGCAAAAGGAAAAAAGGCGCGCGTTTTATCCGCGAGTCGTTCCATTGTGTGCTCGATCTAAGTCGACATTCGTTTCTTAGAAAAGATCGACTCTGGAGAAAAGGTAAGAAACCGAGCTTCAATGATTTCTACGAAACGCGTCTCTTCTCTTCTCTTCTCTTCTCTTTTCTTTCCTCCTTGTATTAGAAAATTCTTCGGATCGGGGGGGAGAAGAAAAGATGATCTCGAAAAGGGACAAAGTTTCGAACGTCGATGTTTATAAAGAAGGAAAATCGCGAGGAGCGAGAGGAGAGTTAATTGGAAGCTTTGGTTAGATTCGAGCAGAAACGTGCGCGGTAAGCAAGGCGTGATTTGTATGGCCTCCTTGCATAATGATAGGACGAAACACGAGGGCTTTTACACGACGGGAGCTCGTTTTGCGACACGTGCGTGGACACGTGAGTCTCCGAAACGCGTTCGACCGTAACGCGTCCCTTCCTTCTCCCCCTTCTATTCCTCTTTTACTTATTATGACACCCCACCCTCTCCCCGGGGAACTCTTTTGCTTTTCAACGCAAATTTGTATAAGGAAATGGAAATGTTATCGATCGGTAAAAACAAAACTACATTCGCAGTGAAGTAATAGATACCTTAAATCGGTCCTTGCATCGGGGCCTTGCATCGGGGCCTTGCATCGGCCCGGAATTCGCAGACTTCTCCAGCTACGTATTGTAGGCATCTAGGTGGGAGGAGGGTAGGTAGGTAGATACACGGGGGAAACGAGACGACGATAGGGCTCGATACGACGTAGGGATGGAATAGCGTTAGAAGTACCCCCTGGGACGGTTTGTTCCTAGGAGCAAACTCCCACGGGATCCCGCAGGGTAGTTCCCGAGGGTTCCACCAAGGCGGCTACGCATCTGTCGAATCTCCCGACTGATATTTCTCTCTCGACAGGACACGCATTACACGGAAGACTGAACATTTCGTGTTATAACATCCTATTCGTTTTTCATCTATCGCCTACGATTACCACTACCACCACCACCACCACCACCACCACCACCTTGCTATCAAAGTAAAAACACAAGATGGCCGATGATAACTTATCGAGAACAACTTAATTACCGCGAGACATTGTCTTACCGTACTAAGTTACATCTAGGAGCATGCAAGGGTTTGTAGTATGTATACACCGTGTAGCAGATCCCTAACGCGTAGGGGATGAAACTACACCATGGCATCGTTTTTATCCCCAATGGGACTGTTGTTTCGAAGATAGCTCTGCGAACCTCGATGATCCTAACGCTCGAAGAAAACCCTCTGGGCAGAAACACATCAAAATCGAATTGACCAGATGTCCAGGAAAACGAATTCTCTGTCCCTCTCGCTCGGTAAGCATCCACTACCTAGCCACCACCCCTTTTGCTTGTTGTCAAAGTCGACGCTGCGGCTACTAACTCTAACGATGTTACAACACCGACGCACTAACACTCTTCGCTTTATTTCTCCGAACAACGCATCTGCGTCAACCATGACAACGATTTAAGGGGAGAAAGAAATTCGATTGAGAAAGACGACGGTCTCAGGTGTTTTCTACCCCTTAAGCTTTAAACGTTTCCAGATTTTTTTTTTCCTTTTCACGGAATGAAACACTTGGCGTGAAGGATTTTCTTCATTTTTCTTAATGTCGATCAACTCTTTCGCCAATTTATTTTACTTTATCCTACGCGCGGCAACATTTTCCTGTCGAAATGTATAGAAAACAACACACAGAGACATTTATTTTTATATTTGCAAAAGATATAATAATTATATATATATATATATGAAATGATATTTTCGATCTACGATTTTTCATAGTTAAGAATTAATTACATGCATTGTGTGCATTTATATGCGCCAAAAAATTACCTGTGACAGATTTCTTACCTGTTTCCAATAAAAAAATCCTCTCATTCGTCTGCACCCAAAATAATATCAATGAAATAGCGTCATAGGAGACATTTGAACGAAGGATAATTAGATTGCACAAAGCGCATATACGGAAATACGAGGTGGTTTATTATAATAATATTTATAATCATTACGCATTGCGCGCGGCGGTCTGTTCTTCGTGTTTGCTTCTTTCCATTTTGTTTCTATAATGTTTTTTTTTGTTTTTATATATATACGTCGCATCTCTCTCTCTCTCTCTCTCTCTCTCTTCAAAACGTTGCCTTTACAATACATATATTCTAATATTTCTTTATAAAGAAATCATTATCATCTCTCTCTCTCTCTCTCTCTCTCTCTCTCTCTCTCGTAACTAATTTTATTATTATTATTTTCATATTTTGACTTTCTCTTTTTTTTATTTCTATCCTTCACATTCTCGAATTTATTTCTTTTTTTATAATCCGCTCGCATGCGAAAGACAATGTTATTTACATCGAACGCCGCCTTAACAATTACAGATTACACGTTCCTATTTATATTTATAATTGTAATAATTAATTAGTACAACGTGTGTGTGTGTCTGTGTGTGTGTGGGTGGGTTTAGATGTATGCATTTGTGTGTAGTATGAGTGTACGTGTACTTTTGTGAGATAGCGAACGTGTGTCCCGCGAAACGTATACGTCTCGAGTGTATACAACAGCGGATATCTACAAGGTGTTTCGCAAAATAACCTTCGAAATTAATCAACAAAGATGGTACAATATTACACGATAGAGGATCTTCAATATTTTATACACAATAATATATAATAATAATAATATAGTATTAATATAATTAATAGGAAATAATTCATATAAAATTAATATTAAAAATTTTAATAAAAATTAATAATAATATAATAGTAATAATATAAAATAGTAACATCAACGTCGTCGCGTCGACTGCTATAATAATAATACTATAGATAATTAATTAATTAATTAATTAATAAAAAAGTTTGAAGCGACAAAAGAAGAAACATTTTTCGTTTAAATAAGTCGTCGCTTTTCTTTATAATAATAATAATAATGGTTTTCGTTATCAATAATATTCTTTTTTTATACAGAAAACGAGTAGTAGCACACGCGAAAAGTCGTCGAGTTTATCCTTACGTTTGTTTCATTTTTAATCGCACGAATTAGCGCGTTGAAATATGGCCAACCAATCGTTCACGAAAGTTTGAAAAATGTTCAATTTTTGTCTTACCTGTTCAATCGCTAATTATTATTATTTCATAGTTTGGAGGGAAACGAGAATGACGCGTTTTTTGTTTCATGTGTGTGTGTGTGTGTGTGTGTAAGTGTTTGTTGTAATTAAAACTCGTACTACCAGGCTAGACCTTCGCTCTGCATCTGGTGAGGCTCGAGGAACCCACCCCCACCACCACCCCCGCCTGGTCCTCCACCGTTTCCTCCTCCACTAGGATTACCCTGCGCTCCACCTGCGAACATCGTTTCAACCATCATCGTCGTTACGAATTAATATGACTTTTTTTTTTTTACTAAGGAAAATTGCGAACCAACGAACTGGAGAGGGAGGAAAAAAAAAGATGTAGCAAATTTCTTTCGTATAGGCAATTTTCAGTAAAGGCAAAGGAAAGTAATTGAATAAAAGAAAGGATTACTCGTAGATGTTAATAATGAAAATCTGACCTGAAGGTGCTAGGAACTCTCCGGGGCTGCCACCAGTGGGTGCAGGAGGCCCCTGCCCAGGGGGCCCTGTGAGAAATTCCGGAGGACCACCTCCCGCACCCGGAGGTGGGTACTCCCCTGTCACCGCCACTGCTGCTGCCATACCCGCTAAACTGGCTGGGTCTAGACCTGTCAAGAACAGATTACGTACTGCTCAGAGAAGATCGTATCCGCCCGGCCATCTCCGAAACCGGCTGCTTCTTTCAACTTCTTTTCTTATTTTTTGTTTATTATACTAATCCCAATAAATATAAAATGATCGCGCACGTTGGCAAAGCAACTAAATTCGACTCTATCCATTTATAGTTGGGAAATCATTGAAAAAGTAATTGAGACTTTGACGAAATGTCTTCGACTTACCAGGATTACCTGGTCCAGCGAAAGGTGGTCCATGCGGATGAGGTGGAGGATGAGCACCGAAAAATTCCGGATGAAACGTAACAGGACTACCATAACCAAATTCAAACTTATCACCGAAATACGCGAAACTAGGCGGTGGACCGTCCTCTCCTCCGAGAGCTGGATTTAAATTCAATGGGAAACCTCGGATCTTTCTCGAGCCAGCATAATATGGACTTCTACCTATCGACGTTAATTGCTTCAACCTTCTTTCTTTGCTCCTTTTGTTTTGAAACCAGACCTAAACATTCAAAAATAATCTCTCTCTTTCTCCGTCCCGTTCTCTATCCCATATTTAACACTGGAACAACCGCAGAGTCGGTTCATTTATTGCATCATCGATTCACATTATTAGTTATTCATTTTTAATAGGAAAATATTGTAAAATAAATGAGAATTTGGTTGTTCCAGCATTCACTCTATTGGGGGAAAAAAAAGTGGTAACAACCTGTATGACTCTCATGGGTAATCCAGTTTCCTTAGCCAATTGTTCTCTGATATGCCTGGTAGGTTTAGGTGTAGAAGAGAAAGCGTTCTTCAATATCTCCAATTGTTTAGCTTTGATGGTAGTTCTGGGACCTCGTCTTTTGGATCCCGCACCACCATCCCCGCTTCCACCACCAGCACCACCATCGGGACTCTTGTTTTCCGTTTGACTGTCTCTCGTTTCTGGGTCACCATCTAGGGAACCTTTTAAACGGAAGCACAGCTATGAGATCACCATTGGATCACCTTTTCTTTTGGAAGGAAAGAGTACCGTCCAAAACGTATCTATAGGTATAGGGCTGGCTTCTAAGGACAATCCCTTTCGAAAACCCCATTGGATTATGGTGAATGCTATGAAACTGAAAGCCATACCCACTCTATAAGCTGTTACTATGTTAGTATACACAGAAGAATCTCTCTCTCTCTCTCTTTCTCTGTCTGACACACTCGTTTTATAATCTATATATACCATGGTAAAGGTCTTAACCACGGGACAAAGAAAATGTTTGGACAGTGTCGCTACGATCGAGTATGGTTACCCCTTAAAAGCACCCTCTACTTTTTCTTTTTCTTTCATACTTGTAGAGTTTTATGTCTGCGTGCGTGCGTGCGTGCGTGCGTGCGTGTTGCTCGTTTTCTCATTGTCACGTTGACGATGAAAGCAACGCGAGCGAATAATGGTTGGAAGACCTGCGCGTGAGCTTTTGTAAACTAGTGAAAGATGTAAGCATCGAGCCACCCTTGAACGTCCTTCGGAATTGGGGTGACACAATGCTATAGAATATTTTCTAGGCTATTTTTTTTTCTCCCTTTTCGATTGAGATGTTAATCGATCGGAATAGAAATTAGAATGAGTTGCAGGTATCGGAAATAAGCCAAGTGTGATAGTTCATTTTTTGCTAGCCAAGCAAACTTCTTGTTTTACGATTAGTCATTTTCGTAGGGATGAACGAATGAAATATAACTCACCTTGATCCTCGGAGTCCTCTTGCTTGCAAGGATCAGCCCCGAGCTGTAGGTCCCCGGTGTGTCCAACACTTTGGTCACCTGGTCCACCAGGACCCATATTGTGCGAACCAAGATGAGTACCACCGACGCCCCCATGATGATGATGGTGCGCACTACCGTCCTCGTCCTCGTCTTCCGATCCGGAACCCATCAGAGAGTCTCCTCCTGCCGACAGGTTGGACGATTCTGTCGTGAACGATCCGAATCGCATTATTGTTATCAATCCTATTCAAATCTATCTTCCTCTTTTTTTTTTTTCTTTTTCTTTGGTCTACAAAAATGGCTGACATTTAATCGAGCATAGATTCGATATTAACCGATTAATTTAACGATTCTTACTTGATACCGATGAAAAGAAATCAGAGTGTAACATTTACCATTTGATTTTATTCACCGAACGAAATCTAATTGACAAATCTGCCAAAAGCAACACGCCAAACTCGACTTAACGCGAAAAAAAGTCTCTCTCTTTCTCTCGCCTTTCTATTTCGAACAAAACGGAACGGAACGGAAAAAAGTGGAAAATCCAAGCGCCAAAGTCGAGAGACAGAGAGTTATTTTTTTAAAGGGGGTCAACGGGGGGTTTGGAGAAAGGGGTCACAGTTCAACGCGCCCAACACTAGGGATTTTACGGAGTCAGGATCGTTCTCTCTCTCTCTCTCTCTCTCTCTCTCTCTCTCTTTTCGAACATGTAGATGAGAAGAAAGGGAGAGGGGAAGGGTAGTTGAAAGCCAGGGTTTCAGCCCTGTGTCAGCGGCAAGCTGTGAAAACACGATGCGTGTATGAGACTCGATGCGGTATGTGTACAAGAGAGAGAGAGGGAGTTAACAGTGGGGGCGAGGGGGTTAGGGCCGTCTCGGTTTCACGAGGAGCTGCTCGTTCTCGTACATATAAGCCGTGAAACGAAAACCGAAAGGTCGTTAAGCAGGGGCAGCCTTTTGTCGCTTCGATGCCGACACCGAAACCGCAAACTTGTCTTTTTTTTCTCTCTCTCCCTCTCTCTCTCTCTATTTCTTAAGAGAAATACAAAGGGGTACAACAGAGGCGCCGTGGGTCGAGGGAAAGATTTTGACGGGGGCTCATGGGATGTCTGACGTTCGATTTCTCTTACTTTTATTACGTCTAACTGGAAGACGCGTTTTACTAATGATTTTTGATACTTGCTTAGACGTAATCGAAATTGAAAGATCGATGAAAGATAAGATATTATATCGTTTAAGTGTCCGCCATTGTTTGATACCAATGAACAATATAATATATAGGGTGTTCATAAGAAGGGAGACTAACCAAGAATGAAAAACTTACCGTGATGACCATGCACGTGATGAGTATCTGGGATCGATTTGCCAGACATGTAGTCTTGCTTGCAAACGAATTTGTTGTCGTCCAGAATGTAGAGTTCCTCTCCAGTGCTCATCTTCTTTCGACAGACCACGCAGGTGAAGCAATTCAGGTGGAAAACCTTGTCCCTTGCCTTCCTCACTAGATCCTGCGGTCCGATACCTTGAAGACATCCGCCGCATTTCGTTCCGTATCGTCTACGAGAAAAAGAAAATAAACAAAAAAAAAAAAAAAATAGGAACGAACAAAAGTCAATTAAAACTCCAAGTTATTCGAGTTACTCTTCGATCGTATTATCATACGTTTTATTATCTTGGTACATCTGTTTCGATCAAGCGAATTTGATTGATCTCTACAATCGTGAGAAATGAACAACGATATAGACAGAGTTATTCATCCTTGAAATGATTCATTGATCATAACCGATCACACCTGTCTCGATCGGATAAATTTGCTCGATCTTTACAACGACGGAAAATGATGGAGAAAATTGAAAAGTTATGTCATCCTTGGAAGGATTCTTACTTATACGTATTTGGTATTCATGATTGGTACACCTGTCTCAATCGGACGAATGTTAAAAAGTAATTTTTACAAACAAAACGATATTCATCCTTCAAACGTACACCTGTTTTAATGAAGCGAATTGAAGCCATCATCGGAAGGATATAAAAAAACTAATCGAAAAATCATCCTTTCATAGCGATTATACTCCAGCTGTCTGAAAAAATGTTAAAAAACAATCTCGAAGCGTGTCTATTCATCTATCAAATATAAGCCGATAAAAAGAAGCCGTAATCGTGGCAAACGTCTCAATAAAATAATCGCATCCTATCGATCCGAATAAAGGTAATAATTATATCGATCGTTGCAATAAAACGTGTAACACCCGTTCGAAATGTTGAACGGTGTTTGCTCTTCGACGTATCGTTTGACAAGAGTAATAATTATCCCCCAGCCCGTAGAACAAAAAGATCGGCCAAAGAAAATCGAAGGAAGGAATATCGCGTGATAGCTCCAAGGCAACTGAAGATCACCGTTAATCTAAAACCTAATGAATATAATATCGACACACTTCCATGGCAAAGTTCTCGAGGCACTACACACTTCTCTCTCTCTCTCTCTCTCTCTCTCTCTCTCTCTCTCTCTCTCTTTCTCTTTCTCTCTCTCTCTCATCCGCAATAAATGAAATACGTCCGAATGATTACACGATATCCAAAGCTCTACTGTATAATCAAAATAACGCAACGCAACAATTTTTTTCTAAACTATTCATCAAGCTGTCCAATATCATTAACGCCTGAAAAAATGAAACAATCGAAAGAGTTGGTAAAAACCAGAAGCAACCGGAAGATTGCCCGGCGAATGATAGTCGTTAAATTTTGTTCTTTCTTTTTACTTTCTCACCCCCGTTTACATTCAACCCCTTGAGCGATAATCGTTTCTTTTATTTTTTTAAACAAATAAGAGAGCTCTCTGCGCACGTTAAAGTTAATAACAGGAATTATTTAATTAATAACAGAGCAATTAGAGGTGCGCGCAGTGTTAACTCGCGTAGACGAAATTCTTGGTTCCGGAGTTATTTTATTTGTTGATTTTCTACCTGGAAATCATGCCTGGAGGCATCGGCAGCAACCTTTCTCTTCGTTCTCGTCGAAGGAAAAAGAAGGAAACGGGAGGCTGGGCCCGTAAAAAAATCATTAATAGAAAGGCTTACGCGGGCTCTTCTTCGAGAGAGATGGAAGTTACCCTTAAAGAGGAGAAACGTAAAGAGAAGCACGGACACTGGAATTCTCGGATGTAGTCGAGAGAAATATAGGACAGGCGGGTCCGAAGTTTGAAGGAAGAAAGAAGGAAAAAAAAGGGGGTGGGACTGTTCGACGATTTGCCACGGTCCCAAAAGGTACCGAGGAAGATAGAATAAGGGAACGTTTCCGAATCGTTGACCAGTTATCGATATTATTTCTATGGAAACAGTTTATTTGGGGTAAGCAAATTCTCCGATTCGTCCTTCTTTTTAAGCATCAATTTCAATGATTATGATGAACAAGTGTATTATTTCATTAGTAAACTTCATTAATAAACGTGTGTCATTTAACCGAATAAAAAATTCATTGTTAACATATAAATCGCATTAAATCGATGATCTCGAGAAAAAATCCTGTTAAAAATATTTTTTTCAACAAGATCGTACATTTGAAATTAGATATCATTTCGAAAGAGTCAAACAGTTAGACGTAGATTATACACGTGACGCGAAGGTAGAACCAAACGACAGATAGAAATTTATGTCCCGTCGGGTAGCTTAGAACCTTTTCGTTAATCCTTTCCTTCTCACTTTCTGCTCTCCAGTCCTAGAGTTCATCTCGAGTAAGCGAGTATAGGGTTGACCAAAAGTTTCTAGCTGGCCTCTCGACCACTATTCAAAGAAATCATTTCTTCTTTTCTTAACTATTTGGGCTAACCAGTTTGCGCGGATTTCAAAACTATAAGCCTGGCTTGTCAAATTCTAACTCTAACTGCGAACCTAACGAGTAACTGCTGTTTTAAATGCCCCTACTACTACCGAGAAACACCGAAACATCTCTTTGTTCCAATTTCTGGTCTCCTTGATCGAAAGAAAGAAAGAGAGAGAGAGAGAGAGAGAGAGATGAAACGAAATCCAATTATTATTATCATCTCGTCGTCATCGTCGGCACGTATTCGAGCTCATTCGAGTAGGAAGGTCAAGGTCTCGATACTAATTTCTTATAATTTCTTCTTTTTAGCTTTTTTACGAATCTTTTGTTCGCAATAATATTGCCGCGCGCCGAGCGATTACACCATCAAAAATGTACGGAGAGGAATAAATAAACGAGTTGTCTATAATAAAAAAAAGAAAAAGAAAAAGCTCCAATAGATATGAAATGGCCTTCTTCCAAAAACGATGAAAAACGCGAATAGCGTTGGAAGGGTTAAAACTTGGAAGTTTGATCATTGAAATCCTTCCAGTTGGTTGCCAATCGAATCGAGAAATGAATGCGAGGGCAAGACAGAGAAAGAGACTCGTAGCAAAGCTTCGAATTTGTTCAAGATTATATCCCCGATGTTATTGAGGATCCTCGAACGTGCTCGAACGATCAACTTGACGCGCCGAGGGAAGCTCTTCGAGTGTTTGAACGCTTAATTTTCCTAGGATACCGATGTGAGAGCAACCGGTGCCTCGGTGCCTCTCTCTCTCTTTGTTTGATGCCATCGAATGGTACGAACGAGGGTCGATATAATGCAATTTCATGTATAGATTGGTACACACACACTCGTGCATATGTTCGTATTTGTAAAATCACGCATTTACCTACTCTTCTCTCGAAAAAGTTTACTACAAAATTGATTTCGAATCGAAAAACATTTGTTTTACAAAAAAAAAGAGATAAGATAATCAATGAGAATTAATCTTAAAATTGGTCAAGAACGTTTTCGGTGTCTCTCTCTCTCTCTCTCTCTCTCTCTTTTCTTATATTTCCTTCATTAATTTAGCAGCAGGTAGGTAGGTAGGTATACGAATTGTAGCCCAATAAAATTGATGATAGGCCTAATAAATAAATAACAATGAAGAAATCCATCACAATTAATCGTCCACATGGTCAACTTGGTTCTCGTACATTTAAGACATTTGTTCTTCTCTCACTCTATTTCTCTGGTGCATTTTCCTTCGTCACTGTTGCGGCACGTATGACGCAAGAAAGCAGTGCCTGGCAAAAACGTCCTCTTCTTCGACGCATCTCGATGGACCTTCCTAGAAAGGAAACAACATATCGACTCCTCTCTCACTCTTAGTAACCGTGGCGGCCTCGTCACGCCCAACAAACTTCTCCTACGGCTCGAAGCGGGCGTCACGGCGCATTTATAATGTTTCCACGTTCGAGTTTCGACGGGCATGGGGCTCCTCGAGATGATGAAGATGAAGAAGCGAACGAGAGGAACAGAGAGAGAGAGAGAGAGAGAGAGAGAGAGAGAGAGAGAGAGAGAGAGAGAAACGATGCCCAGTAACATGCTGCCGAAGACTACATTGGGAAAACAAGGACAATAGACTTCAACTACTTCTCAGATACCAGAAAAGCTTGTTCTTCGAGCTTTCCTATTATTCGTCTTCTTCTACTATACCAAGTTGAAGAATCTTTAACTATTTCTTATCGCATTGTTTTGTCGGCGCAAGGAAAAAACTTTGCTTGGAAATTTGACGATATCAATCGGCCATTTTGACGGTTCGTGATCAAGCGATCTTATCTCACGCGAGATAACTTCAAGGTGAAAACACAATCGATAATAAGCAGCGAAGAAGAAAAAGATAGCGGTAGTAGGAATGATTTTATTTATGGGTGCTTGGGGTGGATTTAAAAGTAACGGTAGAAAAAACATCGTGCGTAAAGGAGGAATAAGGTAAGATAATTGACGCGCATTGGCGAAGCAATGCTCTGCGTAGGATAATGTTTTCATCAAGAATTTCGGGAGCAACCGGAACCATATTTTATGGTAATAATTTAGAGCGGATATACAAGAGAGGGCATCGACCGGGGCTTACTAGCGCGCGGGACCAAAACGGGGACACATCATCGGTCCTTTTGATCTTTTGGACCCTTTTGGGACCCCACCGGCCATTATCGACCTTTAAGGACCTTGCTGCTGCGACTCGTAGAGCCGGTTACCATAACCGCGCGTACCGTTTCCCCTGGACCTCCCGGAGGTGTTACAGAATGAAACAGATGCACACGGGGATGGAGGGCAGAGAGGATGATTACGATAGAGGCTGCAGTCATTTCCACGCAAGACTTTTTTTCTTTTCTCTTACGCGTCTTCATTTATATGCAGATTGCCCCGCCGAATGTTTCTCTACGCTCGCGTTGCTCTTATTTATTCGAAGAAAGTGCAGCTATTGTTACAAATCCCCTATACGATAAAACTATTTTTGGATATGCATATTAGCCCTCGTTAAATAATAGATTTTATATATCCCTCCTAATGTGACACTTTAGTATATAATATTATATAAAATATATCCCCGACAGCTTTTATTTTATCCACTCAGCGAAATATGATTTAAAGTTATTCGTTGGAATGTATGTAGATCCGAGGAACGACTAAGTAAACAAGATAAATCATTTACGCGGTGAAACAGCAAGCAACGTTTTAAAAGAAGAGAAGAGAGACCGCACGACCGGTGCTAATGCATGCGAGGATTAACGAATATAAGCACTTCTGCTTTTCTCTCTCCTATCTTAAAATATAGTCGCTAATGTAGATACGTATTGTATATTAATTTAACACGTTTCTATAATACATACGTTATATAGGCATGTTATTAATAACGTTTTAAGACAAACGTTTTGTCTTATTTATCAAACGTGTGTACCATTTCTATTGGGGCAAATTATTCTTTCCAAAAATGTCAATAGATAGGTATATAAATATATTATCGGTAGGAAATAAACGCGAAAAGGAAAGATAGAAGAAATTCGAAAAGGAATACACGCTGCCGGGTGCGCGCTCAGCTCGTCTTCTCTCAAGCAGCTAATGAATTTTTCATAGGGATAAAATGCAAAGTAAGTCGTAAAGTACACAACACGTTCGTTATACGCTCGTTCGTATAAGTATCAAAGGGTCTCCCTCCCACACTGTGCGCTCCATCTATACGGTCCTTAGCCACAAAGGGGATCGTTCATCACTTCCAGAAGTCAAGAAAGAAGAAAACTTTCGTCGCAAATTTAGCAACAAAAAGGGAAACTCTTCTAAATGCACATTTATCCTTCTTACGAATATGATAGATAATAAAAGAAGAAAAAAGAAAAAAAAGAAATATTGCCGTGTATATTGTAGACGTAGGAACGCGATAAGTTTAACCGAACGCGACGGTAATCGGCCGTAAAAGTATCGAAGCTCGGTGGTACTCCTCCTAAGAGGAGAGGCCCCCTCGACAAGAAAGTAAACCATCGTTTTTCGTCGTTACCTCTGAGAGTCCGCGTTTAAGCGGGTCAATCGCTTCGTTACGTGTCAACAATTAATTAAAGTCAATCGCAGGTAAGTTTTTCCTAGAGAGCGATTTCTGTTACCGAACTCTTTCGTTCTTTCCTACAAAAAACTCTCGGATGCTGGCGAGGACTTGCACTGATTGTGAGAGAGAGAGAGAGAGATCCGGCCTTGCGTTCACGCTTTAAACCAATTTCTTCGGCAAATGTCAAGGCCTCTCTCGCTTCGAGGATTCTTCTTTGCTCGCTCGCTCGCTCGCTAGCTCTCTCTCTCTCTCTCTCTCTCTCTCTCTCTTCTTCTATCTCTAATTCCTCTTTTCTTAGGATCATTTCATTATTGATCTATCGAGTTTTTCTTTTTATTATGTTGTTCGTAAATGTTGTAAAAAATATAAAGTGTGAACAATCGGAGAATCCGACGGCGCGGCGTATCGTGTAACCGCACATATGTAAATCGAAAATACATAGGTACATACTACGTATAGGTTTAAACTGCGACCGACGTTATCGGGAAAGCTTATCCTAGAGATAAAGCTAGCGAGAGTACGTAGAGACGATTACGTAGAGACGATTACGTAGAGACGATTACGCTAGGAATAAAAATAGTTGGTAGCGGTTGAACGAACTCGTAATAAAACCTAGACCCCCAGGAGTAGATAGAGTAACTCTATTGTAATTTTGATTCTAATGTTAATTGTATTGCAAAGTCGAGCGAAATGGCGCCTGCGATTGGCCAAGCAAGCGATGTGAGAAAATGTCAAGGATTCTCCTCCTTCCTGTTCGTCAGGAGAGGCCTTTTTCTCTCGGCGAACAGTGTTGTCTCGGGGACATAAAAAGGGAGCCACGAATACCGATCGTTCCTTGCGGTTCGTGCCAGGATCGGCAAAAAGGTGAGAGGCGTGGAAGAGAGAGAATAACAAAAAGAAAACGCAGCATCCTCGAGAATCTTTCTTCTTACCTGGACGCGTAAATACTAGAATAAAAAGGATATTTCGATTGATTCCTTAATTGCAAATATTTCTTGCAATAGGTAATATCGTAGGTAGACGCGAATAAGCAAATGTTTGCTATCTCTCCGTAAGATAAATAAAAACTTACTTGAAAAAGTCTTCCCTGCAGAAAAGTTTTGCTTCCCTGGAGTAACACTTGTCCTGTAACGCCGATCCGCAATCGAAACAGCGAACACACTGGGCATGCCATACTCGATCCAAAACGTTGAGCATGTACTGATCCAGTATCGGTTTCTCGCATCCTGCACATGACAGGAGCATCGCCAAACCTCGTCTTCCTGCTTCTCAAACAAAAATCAACGCGTTAATAAACGATCGGAGGATAATTATTATTCTTTGAAATATTAGCCCTACTGCTACGCTCTTTCTTTCCATCTTACCATTATTAACAATTTAATCGTTCGTAGAAAATTCGATAGGAAATTTTCGTTAAATCGAATTCGGTTATCGCGTCGTCGTTCGTTCCTACACTGGATGGACTCGGCAATTTCCAAATCGTTTATTTATTCCATCGATAAATATTCCAGGAAAAACAAATTCTACGAATATCAAACGATATTTATACATATATATATAGTTATCCTTTCCCATTTCAAGTGAATGAACGGCGACAAACAAATAACCCTTTCAAACGGACGGCTCACTTTCTATATAATGAATGCATTTTATCTATGTATTTAGCACGAGGAATTATCGATTAGTTTCAAACATTAATTCCGTTCGTTCGGATTATATGCCAAAGCAAGATCTATATGTAAACTTTATGATATATTATAGTCGATTATGTTTACGATCGGAGAAATGTCAGGTCTCGTTTCCAATTTTGATAGTTACTCTTTCTTCGGTCTACAAAATTGACTAGAAAATAAGGATAACAATAAAAATATTATAAATCTATGTTTGTTTAGTAATGAAATAAATAAAATAACACCTGTTGATCGATCGTACACTTTTTTCCTAAACTTTTGATTAAATTAATTGATAAATGTCAATTAAATGTATTAGTTATTAATTCTATTATTGAATAATTCTTATGAAATTATATTAGAATTACATTGACTAGATCTCGTGTAATAGAAACTTTTTAATAGACAAAAAAAAATAAAACCTTTTAAATCACTTATAATCGTCAACATTGACATTACGCTGTTTATTAATTATTAACTTCCTTTATAGAGTTAGATGTTAGAATTAGATTAATTAGATCTCTATGATAGAGAGACGGTATAATATAAAAAGAAAAGGAAAAAGAAAAATGTATTAAATCACCTTAATCGCTTAAAGTTACCAACACCGGAAAGAAATTATTCGAAAAGAGTAAACGCTTGGTCGTAACGCTATAATTACCATGATTCTAATCTAATCACGACCATAAAAAGCATGTGTCTTTGTAGTCACGTGTTATAACATGATCCTTGATTAAAAGAAAACAAAAGAAAAGGAAAAAAAAAGGAAAGAAAAGGAAATTATTTAGAAAGAGATAGAGATATAAACAGAGAGATAAAATAAATCGGCAAATCTGTTCATTTTTAATACCAATTGTTGCCCAATTTTTCATTTTTTACCACATATTTTTACCAACAATACTTATTTATTGTTATAATTAAGGAACGAACAATTGTTTAGAAAGAAAGGAAAGGAATACATTTTTGTTGTCTTTTTTTTTGGTGGTAATTTTGTGGTCTAAAATTTGAGCTTGATTTTGGAGAACCAATAATTACTATTCATTGTTAATTAACATTCGAGGAACGAGATTGCCCTTTTACGTTTTCCCTCTTTCACTGTACTCTCCTCTCTTTTCCCGTTTTGCTTTGATCGCCATCGCTAAACCCTCCGGTGGGTTTTCTCTTTCTCTCTCTACCTCCCTCCCTCCCTCCCTCCCTCCCACCGTCCCTCTCTCCATTTCTCTGTCTGTCCTTTTTTCGTGGTTTCCACCAATGGGCGGAGTCCCTCTCCCCTGAAAAGGTTTGTCAACCTAGCAACCCTCCTCCCACCCTTAAGATCTGACCTTGCGCATCTCATCCCTCGTGAGAGGTCTCGATTGGAATGGAGAAAATGAGGGAAAAAAAGGAAGGACACTTGAAAGATTTTACTCGACGTTACGTTGAGACGACATTTTTCTTTAAGCGTTTCTTTCAAACACCAAAAATTTCATCTCTCATTTCTTTCATTTTCATCTCTGACCCTATGGCCACTTTTTTCTATACCTATCGATTTTACAAACATAATATTTCTAATTCAATTTTCTAGATACCGAAATCGATACTCTTACTACCTACTGTATCTTTTCACCGAGTTATACCACCTTGAAGTTTAACAAAGCTTTCGATAGGGTGTAAAAACGTTCCTTATAATTACTAAAGGATACAACTGATGATACTAAAAAATGATAGGAAAAAAGCAAGAAGAAAAAGAAAAATATTCAGATCTATTTGATGAAGAAAATTCAGTAAGAAAAATAACAAAATAAAAAGGCATAAAAAGGTAATAAAATTGCCACGTAAAATCATCAACCACGTAAATCATTACGACCAACATCGATAAAAGTCTAATTGTAAATGTCTAAAACGCGATAAAAAAAATAGAACTCGCACCTTCGTCCCTAAGAAAGAAAAAACCCCTATCCTCGAGTCTCTTCCTATTCGTTTGATAGGAGAGGGATGAGAAAAAGAAATATTAGAAGGGAGTGGAATCATCTAAATCAGATTAGAATTAGGATTAGGTACACGGCTCGAACTCGCTTCCTGCCACAAAACGGATTCGTTAATCTGATTTTGTCCAATCGACGATCGCCATTTTTTTCTTTCTCTTCTTCTACCCCCACAAAAAGAAAACAAATGGCGACAACATCATTGCATATTACTTTTCCTATGCAACTCTGATAGCACGTTTAAATCATGCCAACCCCTTTCGTCGTTGATTACTCCGAGATTGAAAAGTTTTCGATATTTATATTCATTTGTTGTAATTGTTGGTAATAAATGTTGGTCGTAATTGTTCTTCTTGATAAAATGTCTATTTCTTTATTTATTTTTATTCGATATATGAAAGGATTTAAGAGAAGACGTTTATTTGACCGTGGCCGACGGAAACTTTTTCTCCGTGAAAAATGATGCGAAAGATAAAAATAATTGCATATGAGTTATACTATATGTATACAACAAAGACAAATATTATTTATAACGCGCAAATATATGATAGAGACGAAGTTCTTGAACAATTAATAGAAAGAAAAAATTCGAATTTCGTCCGAAATTGAAAGAATAAGAAGATCTCGTTGGAGATAGAGAAGGAAAAATAAGAAAGGAACGGGGGGGAAGGGTTGCGCCGGGATTCCTGGGAGAAATAATAGTAAGAAAAGGGTGAAACAAAAAAAAGGGATTTGGTCTGAATCGATAGATCGAATATAGGTCGAAAAAAGAATAAGGGGGTTGTGTCTTACCTATGCTACAAGCTTGGGTGACGGAAAGGCGCGTGCAGCAAGAGCCGCCGAGCCTTATCCGGGGGGTACCAACCCCCCCGGGTCCCCCTGCCAGCCCACCGCCACCGCCACCGGCGCTCCCGTAGCCCTCCACCTCCCCAGCCGCGACAGCGGCCACCGCTCCCTCGACAGGCCCACCACCACCTCCACCACCGACACCACCACCACCACCACCACCAGCAGGCCCACCTTCCACGGGCCCGTACCGGCCGAACGGTCCCGAGGGCCCCAGTGCACCCACTTTTACTGCGGTAAAATCCCAACGAGCGTTAAATCGCACTCTCACACTATTACCCACCCCCGCGGCCGTGACTTTTTTTTTTATTCTTCCTCTTCCTCTCTTTCTCTACTCTCTCTCTCTCTCTCTCTCTCTTGTATTCGATAATATATTTCGAGTTTTTTATTCCTCGATCTTCACTAAACACGCAAATTCTTTTTTCGATACACAGAATAAATCACAATCTCGCGCGTACGTTGAATTTTCACGTTGAATGTTTCTCTTTTCTTCTTCTTCTTCTTCTTCTTCCTCCTCCTCCTCCTCCTCCTCCTCGTCCTCCTCCTCCTCGTCCTCCCCCTCCTCCTCCCCCTCCTCTTCTTCTTCTACTTTCTCCGGTCGACGATTTAACAAACGACGACGAGGCATAACAAGGCTCGCACTATGATCTTGTCCACGACAAGAAAGACGAAACCAATTTACCGACGATCATGGCGACAAGAAGGACGAGTTCCGGCCGATAGTCGACCGTATCAATTATACCCTCGAGCATATCAGAATAATCCTCGTTAAGAAAAGATGAAATAATATATATCCTTGATACCACCCTTATTCAAAATCGTACCATCCAACACATTGACGCGTGAAAAATCCAAATATCAAATGAAAAATGGTATGCATTTATCAGCTCGGTCAACGCTACAGTGTATTATATTATTATTTCGATCTATAATAATAATAATATAAAAAAAAAGTATAATAAGTGAAAATAATAATGATATTATGTAAAGATAAAAAGTAGGACCGGACCGAAGGTATTTCGGAGCGCGTCGCGTCGCGTCTAGACGGCGGCGCCTAGCCCGAGCACGCTCGCAACTTCGCTCGAGTTCGCCAGCAAACTGGCGTTGCACCTGCGCCGCCTTTCGCTGTTCGTCCATCCCCACTCCATTCTCGCTCACTCCTATCCCCCGTGACCACGCCTAGGAGCAGCCAATGGACACACCCCCTCGGCTCCCGCGCTCCTCCACTAACCAAAGTCAGTGGTACTCGATTGGTTCGGTTGCTCGGTAAGAGGCGTGTCCGCATTTCGAGCGCCGCCAGGCATGGCCGTGGAATGGCCGTACCTGGACGACGCGACGCCGCGACGGAGGCGTCCCTCCTTTCATTTCTCCCTACCTTTTTTTCAACCGAAACAAACAAAAGAGAAAGAGAGAGTGACAGAGAGAAAGAGCTAAAAACAAAACAAAACTATCCGCCGAATTCGCGTTTCGTCGATTCTTTTTTTCCTTATTTATTCTTTTTATTTTATAATTCTTTTCCTACTTATGTTCCTCTACATTTGTCCAGAAAAAATCCACGACTTTTCTTTCTTCATCTAGTTCCACGGCTTTCAAAATCCCTCGCCTTTCAACTTTGTTATCTTAAAAAAGTTATAAAAGCACGAAACGTCACGATTTGATTTTATTCTATTTCTCTCTCTCTTTATTTCTTTTTTTATCTCGCGGCACGCGATCGGACAAAGAGACGGACGCGTGCACGCGGCTAGTCCCTTTCGCGCCATGCTCCGAGACCTTATCGCGTCGCGACGCACCAAAACGCACCTCCCCTTTCCCCCACTCTCCGCCCCTTCATAGATCGATCTTTACAAAGAGAGACGGAGGGAAAGATTATTCGAAATCACCATTCGATTTTACGAGCTTTCATTAAAATCGATAATATGCACTTATTTTTCTTTTCATCTTTTTATCGACTACGATTTTATTTATTTACTCTACAAAATAATCATTCAGGATAAACATTTACAAATAATGATGTACGACCAATCAATTCAAATATAAATGATCTATATCTTTTCTTTTTAACTAACACGATGATTCTAACACCGATAAAAGGAAAAAAATAATAACAAGAGGAATAGGGGTAGACAACAAAAATGTGTCACCCTGCACATGACAGCCAATTCATCCATTCACGTCGTATTCGTTCAAAACGAAAATGAAATAACAAATCAAAATGTTAAAATCCAATAATCCTTACTCCTTATAACTGTGGTCAAAAATTCTGCAGTCACAATTATAATAAACTTTTATCGTGGAATCATAAAAAGGAGAAATTACGAATCTATTCGTAAACGTTACAACAATCAATACGTTTTATTGCGCATTAAAGCACAAATTTTGGCAAAGTAACAAAATACTAAATGTATTCGAATTACGTTTCATCGATTTGAGAGTACAATAATTTACAAATGCACTTAGCTGTTTGCATTTTTCTATGCAAAAGGCAATAAAAATATAAATTAATTATTGTACTCAAATATTAAAGTGCACTTTTAGGAAATCACAGCGTTTTTTTCTTTATTTGTTATCTTCAAATTTGTTACTTTCTAATTTGGAATAATGGCCAATCCATTTTCTATAAGTAACATTCATTGTTTCTTCTACGGCATAATCTATAGGATGGATTATAAATGGTATAGATACTAAACCAATGATTGTTGGAATCCAGGGATTCTTTAAACCTAAGCTCGATGTTCTTTTTTGTGCATATTGTACTAACATACAAATTCTGTTAATTGTAAAGCCTGGGATTACAATAGATGCAAATGATTGCCATAGTAAAGTGTCTGTCGTAGACAATACAACGCGCTTCATCTTCTGTGGACTCTGATCGATCTGTAAATAAAATGATAACAAATATAGACAGATATTTGTATGTACCTCATCTTTAATAACAGATAATTAGTTTACCTTATACACGCGATAGCCTTTATCCACGGTATCAGCTAAGACATAACCAGAAGAAATAATATAACTTAACCATACGATAGACTTTGGAATCAAGTGTCGAAATGCTTCTCCAACTTCATTAGCGTAACCTGTAAGATAATAATACGAAATATGTAATGTATTAAATAAGATTGATTTTATTTACAAAACACAACCTTCTGAAATCACCACTGAAATTTAAACTGTAGAAAGAAAGTTAAAACTATCAATGAAAATTGAGGTGACAGTAATTAACAACTTGATTAATATTACCCAAATATCTTACAGGAGTATCACGATACAGATCGACCTTTTCACTTTTATCAATCATCCTAGAGTTTGAATATTTGCCAAAGCTTTCCAATATTATGCTATTTACATAACCTTTGCTACCTAATCTCTTCGAGGATTCTTATGAAAATCGTTACAGCATTCTGCAAAAGATATATATAATAAAATAAATCCATTAATAATAACGACATATAAATTTCTACTTATTTATAATGCTTGAAATAATGATAATTTCATTTAATTTATCTTCAAAAACAAATGTTTAAGAAATAATAGCACAAACTTAACAGTAGGGTATAATAATACAGCCCCATCTGCAATATTCTGATAGGCTCCTTCGTTCTACTACAGCACCATCTAAAACAAAAAATAAAAATACAATTAATGTTTAAAGTGGTGGTATCCTTGTTATGAAAAATATTTAAATCCCTACTTTGTCGCGTATAAAGATTACACAATGTTCACATTTCAAAATTATTTATATTAAAAATTAGTGAATCTCACTTAAAGTGCGATATCATTTATTTCTGTCATTCTAAATCTTTACTATTAATGTGAAAATGATATAATTTATAAAACAATTTTATAAAAGTAAACAAAGAATAAATTTGTATTCGAGATGAACATTGACCAAAGAAAGAAATTCGTTATCAATTATCGTAAAAGAATGATTAGAAGTCATTTATATAAAAGTCAAAGTCTTATACACAACGTTGATTCTAGTTATAAGAATTATCAATAACATAACCTTCATATTTCTTCCAAATGATTTATCCTTTAATTTTCTATATTAAACGTTAATCTTTATATTAATATATATATATATATATATGTATATATATATATGTATATATTTATTCGCAAATCATCATACGTAAATATGTGGATTTTAGAAATATTAGATATTCATTTCATAAACTTGTATTTGAAGAATCAAGTTAAAGAATTAGTCTACTGGTGGAGTCATTACATAAGAGAAATTTCTTACCAATTGCTAATAGCTTTTCTTGCCTATATTTGCGTTTGTATATTTTTCTATGTAATCTTAAAAAGAGTTAATCATGCTGCATGGCAACTACCTGGCCCTCCTCATAGAATATTATTGGTTACCGCGCATCCCGATGATGAAGTTATGTTTTTTGGACCTATAATATATTGGGTCACTCGATCAAAGATCAGCAATTTATATCTACTGTGTTTCTCCTCTGGTATATATATACATATATATATATATAAATATATGAATATTTCATGTAAGAATACATATATGTATATATATATATGAAAATATTCATAGTTTATATGCAATGATTTAACTAAAACATTTGTAGAAATTATTACAAGTCAAATGTCCATTGATGTTTATAAGTCTCATTATAGGAGGAGATAAACAAAGAAAAAAAGAATTATGGAACTGTGCAAAATTACTCGGTATACCTGAAGCAAATGTAACTATTATAATGTGAGTAATTGTACTTCTTGATACATTCCATCTAAATTTGATCCACGTTTATCGAATCAACTAATTCATTTACAGGAGCAGCGAATTACCAGACAGTCAATTTATACAATGGCCAGTCGATGTTTTAGCTGAAAGTATATTACATTATATAGAGAGCTATAAAATAAATGCTGTTATTACTTTTGATAAACATGGTGTAAGCAAGCATAAAAATCATATTTCTCTCTATTTTGCAATTGCTGCATTATGTATTGAAAAAAAAGTGCCATCCTGTTAGTATCGTTAGTATTTAATTATGATTAATTTAACAAACATGAATCACATAACGAGTAGTACAAATGAATTACAGATTGCAAGTTATATGTGTTGGAATCTGTGAACATTATTAGAAAATATGTACAACTCTTAGATTTACCAATCAGTTTACTTTCTGCATCTTACTGGTATTTACTTACATATGAGCAGAGAAAAAGTATAACTGTAAGTTCGAATATATTCAAAATCTTTCTAACATATAAATGTAAATAATTCCCCTCCCTGTTTTTTTTCTTTTTTTTTTTTTTTATATAAAAACAAAAATTCTCTAATCGCATCTCTTATCGAAATATACTTTTCTCATTTTATAGAGCGCCATGAAAGCACACCAGTCTCAATATGTTTGGTTCAGAAAGCTATATATGATTTTTTCACGATATACATTCATTAATACACTTCAAGAAGTCAATGCGCTAGATCTTGAATTGGATTTTCAGTTTGACGATGAATACATCCAATCTAACTAAACCTGTACAAAATGAAAGTAATTATAATCGTAAATAAAAAAATAAATTTGTTTATACCAATGGTCATTCGAAAAATATAATTATCAAATATTCTTATTCTTATTCTTTCTTCATTATTATATTTTTTCTGTTTTATTTATTTTTTTCCTTTTCTTTTGTTTCTAATACATTGTAATTATACAAGTGCTTTTAAATTGTATATAAAGTATCCAAAACGAAATTAGTTTATATAATTTCATTTACCAAATTAATGTGCATCTTTTTCTCTATATTATATACTCAAAAGGTAACAATAAAAAATTAATTTTATACTGAATATAAAATACATATAATCAGTCTGTTAGTTAGATCATTGCTGCGCATAATACATACGTATTAATAAGTCGAGTAGGCAAAAAAATATCATCAGTCAGACTTTGAATACAATACCTATGAATAGGTAAAAATTATTCAAAAATCGTCTTTCTCTTTTAACATTAACGTGCAATAAATATGTATTATTTATTTTTGACAATGATTTAATCTTTCTTTTAATAATTTGGCACACCAAAATTTTCTTTATAACAAACTATACTGTCTTTTCATTATTAATTATTAGGGAAATTGTGCTTTGTATCTACTAATATACTAATATATGATTATTATAGAGGCAATATATATAGAATTATTTATCCATAAAATATACTATTTTCTACAATTTTTTATGATCCTAATATATATGAATTTACTAAAAATTTTTAATAATAATATATATGTAATCATTTTAATTTAATGAACACACAAATGATAACGAGTAAAAGAAAGAAAAAAGTAGCAAAATAAAACAGTGACTTGCAATAATTCATAATACAATAAAAAATATGACATATATTTTAGGGATATGTCTATTCATTTTTCTATGCATTTTGTGCATATTTCTTTAAATCTAAATAATATTGTCCGTTTTTTTTATATCACGTATAGATTATTTCTCTCCAAAAAGACACATTGCATCTTTTACATAGATTAAAATTTATATAGATTAAAAAAATAAAAATAAAAAAATTAATGAACATTTAATATTAAATAATATATAAAGAAGAAACTCTTTAACATAAAGGAATGTAAATGCTTACAAGACAGTCGCAGATAATGGACGGCATAGAGTGTTCCCGCAAGATCCTCTGAATCAGTAGACTACTGCGACTAATTGTTGATAAGTAGAATACTGAGTTATAGGTACATACAATGAAAAAATAATAGAATAAAGTTGTCGATCCAGTTGCATATCCAGTTCTTAACTTTCCTAGCTCCTATCGATGGAAACAATCAACGTTATAATGGATTCATAGCAAAGATCTCGCGGGCTGTATCCTAGAATCTATCTTTAGCATGGTGATGAGAGCTCAAAGTTCCCATTCCAGGTTGCGGAGAGTCTGGATCGCCAGGATCTTGAAGATATTGAAGTTCTTGTAATTCTTGGAATTTTTCATGGTCACGAATGTGTGCGTAATTAGCAGATAAACACATAAGGTAATGCGTTAAACTTAGAATAGCCAAAATAGCAGCAACCGTTGCTAAAATAAACATAACTTCTGCATTTTGTACAAAATCTTTACAAAAGAGTTTCACTTCTTGAGATCCGCATACTTTCATGTCTTCCACTCTTGTATTATTTGGGAATACAAAACCTTAAAGAAAATAAAAGAAACATTACTTTATTGTATTGTCAAATATATATATATATATAAATATTATGATTATGCAATATAACAATGAATATATTATAAAAATTATATAAAAAGAAAGAATACAATCGCTTACTAAATTGAGTAAAATCGATGCATTGATCAAGAGATTGAACACGAGGATTACTGCACAATCCCCAAAATATAGTAAACAGCAGGGTGATTATAACTAAAATTGCGAATATTACAAGCCAAATCAATTGCGATACGTACGTTATTGTCATGAACTGAAAAGAAAAGTAATCTATAGATATTTACACTTAATTTGTAATATTTAAGAAGGAAGCAATATAGCAAAATATATTTAATCTACTCACAACAGCACAAGAAATACGACCTCCTACTCTAGATCGCCATGCTCTATATACTTTATGTCTGGTTGCTCCTGTTGCTAGACAACCAACACATAAAATCATAAAGCCTAAAGCAGCCATGCTAGCTCCGATAATAGCAAGAACCAATTGTAAGGCTTCCAACCAGCCAAGTCTTAAATGAAATACCTTTATAAAGAATTAATAAGAATAAATATTAATACTATTTTATAAAAATGTAGATATTAATGAGACAAATGATATATATACCTGATCCATCATAAGAGAACATATTGTAACCCCTCTGTACATGGTGCCACAGAATATGCCAACTCCCAAGCAACACATAATAGTCGCTATAAGAGTCGCATAAGGCACTCTGGCCATACAGTCATTGCACATGTTCCCTAAAATGAAATGACTCATCTTTTATACATTTATCATCTAATAAAGTTGTAGAAACAGAAAACTTACAACAAGATTTATTATCTAAATAAGTTCCGTGTAGGCTATGTTCTGAGAATCTACCTAAACTTATATCACTTTGAAAATCTCTACGCAAAGGTAAAAACTCAATGGTTTCGTTTATCCTGCTTTCTGACATGATCGAAAAATAACCTAATATAATGTTATACTACAACTATACAACGATGACTGATCAATGAGTCAATCAATCTCATGTCTTACTCATATAGATAAGATTAGAAAGGAGTACGTTGCACTGAGTTTGAAACTTTATCATTTCAATATCACGAAAGCATTAAAACTGAATGAAATATTGACAAATAATACAATTTTTATAAAAATATGAATAAAAAATATTGCAAAAGCACTTACCCATGTTAAATTGCAATCTTAGGAGGTTAGGATCGTTCTTATTTCCAAGATTAAAAGCTGAGAACCTTAATCGAGACTTCAATAAAATGATGCACGCCTGTTTTAGTGAATGACATCCCACTCGAGTTCCTAATTGATCTTTGACACGTCACATATCTTATTTACTTGATGAAGTAAATTTATGATTCTGACAGATCGTCTTTCGTCTTGATCTTCGACAACCACCTGTATACGTCTCTTTTTGATTAAAAAAAAAATATATATATATATGTACATATATAATTTGTTTCTTTGCCTATTTTATATAAAAAATATACAAAATACGTAATAAATATATTCGCAGATTTGAGATCTTATGTTAGATAAGAAAATATTGTAGTACTTACAAATTGAAATATGACCTAGCAATATGGCGGCTATAAAATCCAGCAGGACAATTAAAATAAATGAAAGTGTAGAGTATATATACTAGGTATTTTTAAATGAATTAGTAATAATTTCATAATTATGATCTATATGTTTACTATATGATTTTTCCTAATTATAAATTATATTGTTATTTAATCATTTTTTCGTTTCAATGACGTTTCTATACATTTTTATTACTCTTCTATTAATATTTATACATATATATGATTGATGGGTAATAAAAATAAATCTATAGAATAATTCATAAACAATTTACAATTTACAATTAAGTAGTGTAACTACGAAGAAACTTGTCAATGATTCACAAATGTCTGAGAAAAAATCCGTCAATGATAATTGACGAGTCTTCGAGCTAATTTGTCAATGATTAATAACGATTCTTCGAACTAATTTGTCAATGATATAATATATCTACAAGAATTTTTAATCATTGATGAATTACTTTGCATAGAATCTTTTATTCATTTTACTTATCTCGTTTCATAGTAATTTTATCAACAAAAACAAATAATTTATTGCGAGAAAATATCAATTTTTAAAAAGAATGTGTATATATACACATACATGATATGCATTTAAGTAAAGTTAAAAAAGATGAATTATCATGATTAGAATTAAACTAAACTATATATATCTTTCTTTTACGACGTATTCAACAATATTCATTTGTACACATCATGCGACTAATTGTATGATATAATTTTATTATGTAATATATAAAAGAGATTATTCTACAATTTCTTACATTTAAAAATAAAATATATTCTAATATATAAGAGTACAAAAAATATAGTGACATCCCTTTATCTCTTCGCTATCCTTTTTTTTATCCGGTTAACTTAAAATTGCTATACAGATATTATATCTACTCTTTTTTTCTCTTCTCTTATATATATATATATATATATATATATATATATATAAAAATCTATAACTATCTTAAATTTTTATACTTTCTTGGCGCAAGATGTTTCATAACTGTTTCAACATGTCGTAACTTTTCTTTTATCATATATGGTACTTCCAAATTTTGTTGACATTTCTGACTATATTTAAATATCTTACCATTACTTGCTTCATACTTAATACCGCCACCGTAATCTTGTGTTATTACCTATAATCATATTTAAGAGAGATCATTTAAAGAAACACACTGATAAATAATAAATATTAAAATAATAAAATTATTTTTTTTTAACATATGCAATGGGGTAAATTGCAAACAAATGGTTTGTAGTAAAGAATTATTTACAGTCAAGGATGATCCATCTTTGTAATCTATTTTAATATCTCCTGATGGCAATTCCATAGCAATACCTATTCCTGGAACAGTTACTTTTTCTATGTCACAATTTGTACTATGAACAGAATTCATTTTTCTTGATCGTGATGTTATTGTTGACCCAACCGAATATATGGCATCAAAGGAAGGCATCTAAAAGTTTAAAATATCAAATTAGACTAATTAAGAAAATGTCTCTTACATAATTGAGCTAGCATAAATATTTAGACTCGCAACCTGTGTACTATTAGTGGTATGAAAAACGTTCTCTTTGCCTTGCAAACAAGGTGTATCACTCAAGGCCGAACAAGGCCTACGTCCAATTATGATAGGAAAATTCGAATGACTTGTTGCCGATTCTAAAGATTGTAAAGCAGATTCTAATATCAAACAACGCTTGTAGCTGTCCGAGTAGTGTTCGTAAAATTCATCCAAATGCGTAGGAAATTCACCTTCGACATAAGTATTACCTCCTTCTGTAATCTTTACAGTTCCATCGACACATGTAACCTATAATGTTAAGAACAAAATGAAATCTTTAAATACCAAATAAAAAGTTTACCAATAATGTATTCAATTATACGCAAACATTTATTTAACTTACTTTTACTCCATTATAAAAATGTACTTCGCAATCAGGATGTGGACCATTCTCCATAAAAAAACACTTAGCATGTTGGGTATATAATGTAATTTTAGGAGTTTTAGCTCTAACAAGTTTAACAAAACGAGAAGCATATATATATTTTTTATGATGACGCGATGGTAAATTTTCATAAGAATAAATACTATCTGCACCATAACTTGGTAATGGTGCAGGTTGGGAACCAATCTCTAAGAGAGATGCCGGTTTATAAAGTATCACTCTTAAACCGTCACCTGAAATTCTGCATACTTCGTTTATTTTTTCCTAGAAAAAAAAAATTCTTCTTTAAAAAGATCATATTACACATATAGATATAATGAATAGCAGTAAATAAACATACAACTCCATTTCTTCGTTTGATTAATTCAGTACAAACTTCACCATTCTCAAGGATAGTAAGTATTGCTGTTTTTGCTTTATGTCTCGTCGGTTGTAATCGTTCTGTACTTAAAGGTGGTACTTGTAATTTGGCTACTTCTTCATTACCTTCGCCATTCCATAAGTGTTCATTACTCTTTTTCTTTCGTTTTTGTTTCTCCACCGTTTTCTGTCTTCTACTTTCACAACAACATTCACAATCGCTGTGTTGAACATTCTGAGAAAGGATTCTGCTTGATTGAGGTGGCGACATTTCATAAAATACAGAATCTATTTTAGGAAAGGGATCCATCAACTGTCTTTTTTGTAATGAATGCAATTTTGTTGTCGGTTCGGATATAGCTTTACTTCTTGCACTGATTGCACTTGCACTGATTGCACTTGCACTGATAGGTCCAAATCCACTAGACATCATAGGGGTTGTACATATGCATTCTTCTGAATGAGAACGTATCCTAGTTTGGCTATAAGAAGATAATGTTTTACCCACTCCGGAATCAATCATACCTTCTCCTAATAATTCTCTAACTTTACCAACTTTCTCTGGTTTTTCCTATACAAATAAAATATTATATAATAATATATCATTAGTTTTTGATATAAATGGAATAGACAATATTTTACTAACACTTATATTACATCTTTCATTCGTTTTTAAACTTGTTATAAATGGATGATGTGGAATGTCTTTTAAATGAATCCTTTCCTTAGGATTTTTTTTCAATAATTTGTCTATAAGATCTTTAGCATTGTTAGACAAATTGGTTGGCATAACATAATCAGCCATTGCTACTCGTGTTAAAGTGCTCTTTACAGCATCAGTATCAAATGGAGGCTTGCCTACTAAAAGAGTATATAACATGCAGCCTAAACTCCAAACGTCAGCTGCCAAACCATGCGACGATCTAGTTGCAACCTAGAAAAATAAAAATATGTTTTTCAAAAAATATATTATATACATTAATAAATATACATTAATGATATATTTCCATTCAAATTACTTCTGGCGATATATAATTAGGTGTACCACACATGGTTAAATGTTTTTCATCCGGTCTTTTTAATTGCGTAGCTAATCCAAAATCAGCAATTTTCTACAAAATGTTATAAATAATATTATAATATATATATATATATATATATAGTTATATTACATAAGGAAAATAATCTTAGTAATAAAAGTATTTTTATACATACCACTTGCATGTTCTTAGTTAACAGCAAATTTGATAATGATATGTCTCTATGAAGTATTAAATGAGAATGTAGATATAGTAGACCTTGTACAACTTGTGCGATGATACTTCCAGCTTAAACAATAAACATAAATCATAAATAAGAAATGTTTAACGCATTTACTATATCACCATCTAATATACATGATGCTCCAATTTTCCTAATGTCTCTCATTAAGTCCTACATCACACATTAATGACAACTGTTAAAGAAGAAAACTCTTTATAACATAAATAACAAAAATGAATATTTACCTTCTTGTTCGGACAATACATGAAAATCTTGCATTTTTAAATAATGTTGAAGTTCACCATTGTGACATAATTCTAAGATCATGTAAACATAATTATTATTCTCGAAGGCTGTATATAATTCTAGAATAGCTGGATGTTTTAAACGAGAATGAATTGCTACTTCTTGGGAAACTCTGTCTAACATGCCAGCAGCTTGCATTGATTTCTTGTCAATCTATAAAACCAAATAATAAGTCTACACTATAACTCATAAATGTTTCATTATGACAACCACCTTAATTAATATTGATATTATTCAGTCTATACGTATCGAATGAAAATCACATTTACCATTTTTATAGCAACTTCCATTCCATTGCGTAAACATTTTGCTCTATAGACACTAGCGAAACCACCTTTCCCAAGTAAATTTAAAACTTCATAATCCTACAAATGAAAAAGAAAGAGTAATCGTTAAGTGTCTTTGTCGTTGCTATAATGAAAGTATAAACAAGAGAGAGAAAATTTGAAAAGCTAACCTCAATTTCTTCACCGAAACCACCCGGCATTTTTTGTAGTCCTGCATAAAACAGGTCCACGTCGACTTTAATCCTTTTATATTATTATGTATTTAGATTGTATATAAAATATAAGTGCAATGTAAATCACTTGGCCAAAACTTGGAGTTAAAATTTATAAACAATAAATCCATGATTCCCTATTATTAGTCGTTAACAACTGACACGACACGTCGACAGAAGCGCGCTCTGGCGAATTTACTTTTTATCAAATTTAATGCACTTGATGCAACTTTAATGCACCACGTACAATCGAAATAAAAAATAAATAATAAATAAACTATGATTATTTTTTCAAATTCAATTTTGTTAGTATATTCGCTATCGAAAATGAAAATAAAATATATATATATATATATACATTTTTCTACAAAACTATACAACTTATAATATAAATAAATTGTTAATTTCAAATTTTATTCCACAATAGTAAATATATTTTTCTTGGCTAATGCAAAAAACGTTGTACACACATTAAGACCTAAAAATGGAAATGAGATAATAATATATGCTGTAGTTATATAAATGAATAATATTCTTATTTTTTAACACATATATAAAGATCAGGCGAGAGATAAGATTTTCATTTCAGAGACAAAATGATGTTGGTTGGTAAAGCAGATGTCGGTAAGAGGCATCATACAAACTAATATTCCTCCTATTTTTTAATTATAATTATTATAATAT